CACCCCTCCTCCCTCCCCCGGGAACAAATCCAATTATCAATTACGCCCCGGGTTCCGATAATTACATATTGCTAACCTTTAATCAAAAGATATAAATTATTTTAGAAAATTATAACGTAAATATTACTAAAACAAAATGAATAGTCAATTTATTTTAATGCATTATATATTTGAAATTGAAAACTTTATACACTACTAACTGTCACACCCGACTCCTTCTGCGCGGGATTAAGATAGTAGTCGATTCTCAGAACTACAAAATATGCAAAAAATTTATAAAAATCATAGGATTAAAAATAGATAGGATTTGACTCTTGGATCTTCTGCATTATACATATAAATAACAAGATTATAAACATGATCTTTAGGATATTTCTTGAGCTTCCATTGAAATTGCTTAGAAAAATATAATAATTTATAATATAATAAAAATAATAAAAAAATAAAAATAATTTACGACTTCATTACAATGTTACAACTCATGGAGTTCTTCTATTTAAAAACATAAATGACTCAACACATAAACATTGCAACATAGTATTGTGTTGTACCGAAGCCTTACCCATTAGGGATATTACTGAGTTTCCAATCCATTTAACTATCCCTGTTTACGTTATATCATAATAAATCAAATCCTAACAAAACGTCAGACTAATACGTATTTTATTACATAGCCGTTGTTTACGCGGCTTAATTGAAAATCAGTTTGATTGGCCGCCGCTGACTCGTGTTTATTGAACGTTAAATCAGATTGCATGCGGTGTGCGCACTGCTGTTCAGCTTTACTACCTCATTTGCATAAGAGTTCCTACTAAAATAAACGTCAGTCTCTTGTTTATATCGTTTATGCAAGTAGATAGATCCAGGATCCAATAAGTTTATCACCATCAGCTCACTATGCTCCATTAAGAGGCTCGGAGCCAAGTTAGGAGTGACTATGTCATAGTCAACCACGCTTGCCCTGTACAAGTTAAATTCACACATATCTTCTAATTTCTTCGCTGATATGTGCAGGTTGCATCACGATGTTTCCCTTCACTGATACAACATCGAGAAAAAATGTACATATGTAAATCGAAAATCACATCGATACATGGTCATCCAATAGTAACGCATGACTTTAATTATAGAAAACCAAAAAATATCGGAATTTAAGTAAAAATTTATAAAATTATATTTAATTTCAAAAATGGACTGGAATTTTTTTAAGAAAATAACTTTTTAAGGGATGAAAATAAAAGTTTAATAAAATTACTGGATCCTTTACCATTATTGCCTAAATTCGTCATCCGTCAAACCTCAATCAAATCACGTTTGAGTATTTGACACTCCGCGTGTCAATCAAAATGACACTCTACAAACTGGGAGTCATTAATCCCTTTTAACATTTTTATCCTAAAACACGTCGATTAAAAATAAAAGAATTTTACAATTTGTTACTTCAAAAGTCGCACTTACTTATGATTATAATTTAATCTTTAAAAATCTACACTAAGGGACTAATTAAGCGACGGCTAAATAACCCGAAGTGTGTTTTAAATTAAAAAAGATATTTATAATTTCACAATTGCCTTGTTATAGTTTACCGATTAAAAACTATCCATTAATAACCTTTTAATAGTTTCAAAACAATATTAATTAAAAATACGATCGTAACTAAGCTTTTAATGCTTTTATGAACTGCTAGAAGTACCTTTCGGTAGGCTGTACGAGTATATTAAATATCGCAAGAGTAAAATGTTTTTAATCCTCTACGTCTAAAAGCATAGCGCTGTAGTTTGTTTGGTCAGCGCCCCCCTCCCCCTGGCTCTCTCCCCCCTCTAGACTTTAGGAGTGGGATAGATATGTCGAGGTAATGGGAAACATTGCTTTTGTGAGAGCTTTTTTTCATTCGGTCGTTAAAAAGTTTGCTCTCCGACTTGAGACGCTCGGCTTTGTTCCGAGTTCGGAAGAATGAAGGCTTTTTAAGTGTAAGTATATTGGATCATATTCTCGTTGCTGTTCAGATGAAATGTGGCTTTCATTTGTTCCATTTGATATATTTAAATTGTTGCTACGGTTGAAGAGTGCTTTTAAAATGCCTCCTAATGCTTAAATCTGTAGTTTAAGTTATCTTAAGTAGGAGTCATATTTGTTTATAAATATTTCATTACCATTTACTATATTTATTTATAAATATTTTCTTTTATAATAATCGTTTAAAGTAATCTTTGGTCGTAAAAAGTTGAAATCTTTGTTACAAGGTAAATAGTTTTTTTAACGAAAATTCGTATACGTTTTTTAACAAGATGTGGAAAATAACTAGAAATTTTATTCTTAAAAATAATTTTAAAATATTGTATTTTTATGTGAATAAAATAGGACATATAAAAATAAATATACATTTCGGCAGCAGTTGTTATATTTTATAAAAATTGTGAACAAAAGAACGGTGGAGTAGATTCACTGGAGTTTACTTCACATAATGATTCATAAACAAATAACTGTAACAAAAGACTTTGAAGAAAACCTGCTTTTTTGAGATACGAACAAATAATGAACTGAATGCTAGACCTAGTTTTATAGCCTTGAAAGTATATTTATATATTTTTTTTCTAATTTATTATGAAATTATATTTATAGAGAAATATAATGTAAGAAGATTTAAAAAAATAAATTTTGAGTATCTCAAGTAACTACACTACGGCGTAGCAATTGTGTAGCAATGCTGCGACGTAGCACTTGAATATTAGTGCTACGACATATTATGTAGAATGAGAGTGGATTTACTTAAAATGAATACGAAATAATGATACATGATATAAGATCCTAAATTCTAATAAGAAGTAGAATAAAATATCGTATTTTTTTCAAATATTAAGAATAATGAAGTAACAAATTCAACACTAAAATACTGAACAGTTCATTGAAATATGCATATTTAACACGTTGTACTCTATTTATATCATAGAGTAGAGATATTGTGACAATAAAGATTCCATTTATTGCATAACATTGTATTTTATTACGGTTATCCTTCTGGCGGGTTGCCAGTAGCTGCCAGTAGCTGCCAGTAGCTGCCAGCAGTACATTTACTCCCCTGGGATTGAATTAAGTTCACAGGATTTTGTTATACTAGGATATATAATTTGTAACCATTTTTGAAAGTAACAAGCTCGCGAGTTATAAACAATTTTTCTTTATCTTTTTAACGATCAATTTATGTAAATTAATAGTATTAAACCAAGCTTCATTTCAGTCTTAATTGTATGAATTCTCAGTACGTCTACGAATTCATTTGTAAAGTGTCTAATTCTCTTAAGAACGGTTGTCTGAGATAACGCGTCGGAGCGCTTTATCTCGAATTAGAGTGAATTAGTGATGACGTCACCTGCCTGTTCCAACAATACAGATAGGTAATTGATATACAAGACTTTAAATCGTCGATTTATGTACCTACTAAGTTGTTATGATTGAACAAGTATTTTATTTAGAAATTTTATTTTTGATCTTAATAACTTAGTTCTTAACTTTCAGATAACTTTATAAATACTTTCCTCTATCACGTAAGATATATCAAGCCCTATTATTTTTTAACTTCCGTGATTGTTCTTTAAGTAAAGCTGACTACGCTTTCATCATTTTTATTAGAGTGAATGTAATATCCCGTCTAACTTTTTAATAAGTATTACAATTTATATAAAATAAAGAAGACATGGCAGTAAGTTTTAAAGTAATAAATTCGATTAAGTACAACACGTAGGGCGGCCGCCAAGCTGGGCTGCAGCACACTTGGCGCGCTGCCAAACTCCAAACTCGGTCAAACGCGTAACGCTGTCAGGTCGCATTCTTAAAAGTCGTATTAAAATTTCATAGAAGCTGCGGTTAAATAACTCTTTATTTAAGTCAACTCGGAGTTCAACTTAATATTTGTACCTAGAGTCACAAAATGGCCACTAAGAATAGAAATCTACACTAAGACTTACTCTTCTGAATGCGGTAGTGATCTCACGGTTAATCATTACATATGTTTAACGCAATTGCCATCAAAAAGAAACTTTTTGATAGTGAATCATGCTGGACCAGTGCGGGTTGACTTTACACATATCCTTGAATTTCTTCTCAGATATGTGCATCGCGATGTTTTCTTCACCGTAAGAACGTCGGGTATATGTACATATGTAAATGGAAAACATATTGGTACATGGCGGGATTCGAACCCAAGACGTGCAGATTACAAGTGAAGTAAAGCAGTAGTAATCATGTAAATAAACACTTCAGTCAATTAAATTGTCAAACACGTACAGGCCGAGGTAAGAGCAACGAGTTAATATTTAATGAAACAACAAGAGCTTTGAGCTTATTTGTTAAGAAAATACGTATGATGTTGCCAACTTTGTGTGGATAGTCTGTTAGACTTGGATTGCTTTGGAAATACAAAATACCTTATGTATTTAACATTAAATAAGGTGAAAAGAGTCGTAGCTGGATGAGAGAGAAACCTCTATAAGCGAGAGTCACTGTCCGGTCCCGACGGACGGCTTCCGTAAGCGAAAACCTCGGGATAGGGAGAAACCTCTAATAGTAACAAACTTCGCAGTTCTATGTACTTTCGCTTATCCAGGATCCAGATGTTAATTCATTATATCAGTAAAATTATATTTACAGTTAAGAATAAATAAAAAAACCCGCAGTAATAAATTGTGGAGTCAGTAAGGATAAATATTTATACGTTGAAAATGTAAAAAGATCGAGCTTGAATTATGAGCCTCGCATTTAAATGAAGTTGTCCATAAAAACAGGACGACTTTAAACGACTTTCATTCATCATCTCCGAGAAAACATCAAATTCCAAAAGATTTTAAATTAAATATAAAAATTATTTTCCCGTTTAAAAAGAAAATCCAGTAGCGTTTATTAAAATAAATCTTGAGCTTTCCAGCGAGTGAAAACTGCATCCGTCGACTGAACTACTCTAAACTGCAGCCTGAAAAAAATATACATAAAACTAAACAACTCACCCAGAAAGTTCATCTTGCCTCACGAAGCACCACCGCTTAACAAACCCTACAACCTACTAACAAGTATCCATAACAAAGTCCAATATAAAAATATATAATTCTTTTTTTAATTGAGCACCAATTCTTTTACTACATTAGAGAGTTCATGATACGTATCGTTACTGCTAGGAGCAAGGAGTTAGCGTATATTACATGATTGTCGCGGGAACACCGTCCATCGCGAGCGGCAGACGGCCAATGCTGTTTTGTCGACGCGACGCCTCTATTTAAGCCGTGGCGGGTACGCTCTGCGACACGCACACTGTGCCCCTCTCTGTCGCCACGCGGCACCTCACTCACACATGCGCACTCTAAGTGGGTGCACTGGGGAAATGGGGGCGCCATTGTCAATCTTAAATGGAAAAGGAAAAGTTGATTCGCGTCAATTTTTTTTACTTCCCTTTAATGACGCTTGTAATTGTCGATATCGGTGGTACTTTGAAATTCAAAAAGCTCCCTGGAGACAGCTCTATGTAGTGGCCATTAGTAAAAATTGGGATTCCAATGAATAGAAATAAAAATGCGTAATTTATCGATGGAAAAAAAACGTATAATTCTATGTACTATACGATGAAGCTTCGATAAATAAAAGGAGTAAGCAAGAAAAATGGCACACATATTTTAGTCCCTTTTAACGCACACTTTGGCGGCGGCCGGTGGGCAGAGTTGCGCGGTGCGCGTGTGTTACGTAAGAACAAAGGGGTCGCCGACAGGGGGCGTGGCTGCGTGCGTGTGTGAGTGTGGTAAATCTTTTATAGGTCGATGCATTAAGTGATTTAGTATTATAGCTTGCATTTGACACAGACTTTCGAAATATACGCATTACGGCGTTGCTGAAATAAACTTTCAGGTTTCACATGAAATATTTTTTTAAATATAATAATTGAATTTTATAAAGAACTTTTAAAGAATTTTATTGAAGGTTTTGTAAAGTTTTGTCGCTCAAAAACAATTTTTATTGTTCATAAAATAGTCAACTTCAAGAAAATGTAAAGTTATAAATACATTTTATATTAAAGTTATAATTTAGCGGTGAAAACCGTAATTTTATTAATATACCTAAAATTTGTACCATATAGTTAGTCGGAGTTCGTTTGATTCATATATAAAATAACTTTAGGCGATACAAAATTTTAGTTTGCAAAAAGTTTAATTAGATTCCATTAAATGTACATTCTTTTTATTTCTGAATACATTTCTTTAAAAAATTATACCAACCCTTTATTTTTAAGCTTCTTTTAAAGTACTTCAGTCTCTACTAATATAATGAAGAGGAAAGATTTGATTATTTGTTTTCATTGAGTAGGCTCCGAAAGTACTGTAGTGATTCGAAAAATTATTTTACTATTGAGAATCTACACTATCCCCGTGTGACCTAGGCTAGGCTATATTTACTACTAGATTTTTTAATTTCGACTAAACCGAAACGTTACGTTATTCTTGCAACTCTTTCTCTTCTACGTTTGCACATTTAAAATTACAAAAAACGCAGAAATCAACTCAAAAGTTATAGAAAATGCAACATAAATACACTAATAATATTTTAATGATGCATTGAAATAAAAGCTTTAATATAAGAAAAGTTTATAATATTTCCAACTGAAAGTGTTTGATAGATTCAAACACTAAAATATCGCAAGTAGGAAATCTCCAGTTGTATTGAAGACAATATGCATAAGTGATTTTCATTAAAATGTACCGCATTTAATATAATATTCAAATGAAGTGTCTCTAATAATATGAGATAGTTGAGAGCGCGTGACTTTGCTCGCGGAATGCTAATGTCAGTGAAAGAGAGCGAAATACGAATAATTGTGTTTGTGAGAGTGAGAGAAGAGACTTCGCTATGCGAGCAATTCGAGGGTAAAATTGTTTTCATTGCACGCATATCAAGTATTTTACATATTTATTATGTCTTTGTGTGAAAATGTTTAAGTTTATTTTTTATCTATAACAACGTAACAGATACTAAAGGAACTGTGAAAGTAGCGCCAGTGATCGAGAAATTGAGGAGTAAAAGATTAGCGTGGTTTAGATATTTTATGCGGAGAGATGATTATGATGTAAGCAAAAAAGTGTGAATGTGGATGGCTACAAAGGTAGAGGAAGACTAAAAAAGTATAGAATGACTGTGTGAAAGAGGATATGCGTAGGAAGGGAATAGATTCGGATATGACGGCTGATAGAGATGTATGGAGGATAAGCACATACTGTGCCGATCCTTCGTAGGGATAAGGGCAGGTTTATAATGAATAACGTAACGGATACGTTAATTGTTAAATTAAAAATTATGATAGTTTAGTAATTAGATATTAATTTAGTGCTGAGATTATCAGGATTATAAATTATCAACGTGAGTACAAAGATCAGTCACCTATCAGCGATCCCAGTAACTCGATATTTCGACCAAGTGCATGGGACTAAGGTACGGTAGGTCTCTTAATGTAAAGTTTAAAAAGAAACTATTTACTAAGAAATGCATTACAGAATTTTGCTCATCAATTTCTAATATTTCTACATAAGAGCTTGTAAAATTAAAAAAATGTATGCAATTGAAGAAACAAATTAAAAAGTGGTACAGCACTTAAATAGAAATAATCAACGTTGAATGTGAATAGAAATTGTTCAATTAATGATATTGAAGATATTTCATTGAGTGCTTTTTGTGAGTTACATCGTTGAAGAGAACTTGACTTCATTTATTTCCTACATTTCTATAAGAGATTAGTTCAAAACTAATGATATTCATTTGCTCATTTAACATACTATTCACCGAATTCAGTTACAGTCACTAAGGACCTGCCTAAGTGTAGATAATGGCAACTGTGAGTCGGAAAGTAAAGGCATAATTTAGTTTAAGCCAAGTTATAAAATCAATAACAGTAATACCAATCTTCGGATATAATACCAGAGTTTATTGCAGAGATCTTAAAACCAGTTTTCTCCTCCCACCGTTTTACGTATCATAAAACTTTACATCGGGAACTAGTGGGTAGTTAACTAAAGAGTTATTTCTATAAACTGGAAGCACATTCGATCCCACTTAAAAATAGAGCCTAATAAGTTCTTGAGGGAACTGTACATTACCGTAAAAATAAAAGTTGAAACCTCGTATGCTACGTTTGCTATTCTCACAAATTGTCACTTCAAAGATTTGGGGTATACCTATTTCGTTCATTCCTCTGGTTTATGAATGTTCTATCCCTTTTCGGCACATAATCATCGTTGTAAGGACTTAAGTGATTTCAACAAAGGGTCGGATTTAGGGACGCGTGATGGTAATGTTAAAGATATGAGTATATCAGGAATGTAACCTACATTCCTAACTATAAAGTATTCATAGAGTCGTAACAAATTTTTCTTAGTCTAATAGAATTGGAGGCTTACGTAGTAGAGAACATTCATTTTGTCTTTTTCTATTTATTGACTTATCAATATTTATTATAACTGTTATATTATTTATTACTTGAAACAAAACTAATAATATTATTTTAGTTAAAATTCAACTAAATTATTAAATTAATATGTCAAAGCGATGAAGCTGCTTCATCGTAGCACACGCTACGAGAATTTATTTAAATTATAAAAGGTACACTATTACTTTATTTAATAGATATATACACAAAACTATGGTACCTGTAACTGTAGGCATTGTCTATTGCTACCATAGACTTGAAATTATCTTAAATTAAAAAAATATTTGTAAATTTTTGTGACGCCTTAAATTTTCTATTTGTATTAAAATTCAATGGAAATAATATTTACTTCTAATAAGAAACTCTTTCTAAGTTGAGCTAGACAGACTTTAGCGTCCATTTAAATGTAAACTGCATGACATTGTACGCTTAGGATACTACGTAAGGAGTTCCGGCGCGACATAAAACCTCCACGTTCAAGCGGCTAGCTCGTAGCAGGCCGTAGCGGGCTGTAGCGGACTGTAGCAGGCTGTATAAACCTCCGCCGCCACTCACACTTGATTTCATTTACAATTCATTTGATATACTTAGCGCGGGGTCTTGATGGACAGTAGGGTTGCCAAATATTTTTTTATAAAAATATACTATTGCTCGCTCAATTTTGATGAAGATAAATCTATTAAAATTGTGAGAAATATTTATTGCTAGCGAAAATCGGTGCTTTAGGAGGACTCACAATGAGTTTCGACGCTATCATAATATGAGATGACATATCCTAATTAGAAGAATCTATCCATTGGTTTTAAAAAGTAACTTTCATCCCTTTGAAGGTTTGTTATTTAAATAAATACGTTAAGTATGTTCTTGATACCAATGAAGTACTAAATGAATTCTAAGATATTCGGATATATCCCAGGATACAAAATAGTGCTGACTCATAATTAATGTTATTAATTTAATTGATATCCTAAAATGTAGCGTACGCCATAATTCGCTAACATTTTGTTTAAAACTTAAACAAAATCAAAATACAAATGTGTCAACCCTGTTCTGGCATATGTATGTGGAAGGCAAGTGGTCCGGGGTGAATATGTTTTCTTATTGCGACCCCCCGCGGACGCACACACCCCACACTCCCCGCGCATATCCCGCATACACTCCGCACCGCTCCGACGTGTCAACTGCTAATGCATTGTTTGTTTTTGTAATTAATATTATTTTTTATTCGTTCTTTAACATCGTAGACAGTTTTCGTAGATCGTTCGTAGATATGAATGAAATCAAATGAATTTTTTTTATTGTAAATTACATTTACCGAGGGCTGTTACCACGTTAATAAATAAATACATAATACAAAGTATTACTATTATTTAAAACTCATTTGACATATTAAACCTCACAATTATTTAAAGAAACCTCGAAAGCAAACATTTGAACAAATATTTGTCTCGTTTAAACAAACCTTTTAGAAATAAAAAGGCTTACGTGCTTTCAGTAAAAGGCGTTAAGGCGAAGTGCAGATTGAAAACTAAAGGGGGCGCTGTAGGGTGTTGTATTAGCGTGCATTCACATTGCAAATCAATTTTGTTCTGTGTTATGTGGAGAGCTTCCCCGGGTCACTTGTTAGCTCTGTAATTGACGGGCTTTTAACGGAGAGTGGATGCTGATTTATTTCCCTATTTCGTTGATAAATAGTTAATTGATATATTCGATCATATTATTTGTAAGGATGTTGATAATAAAGCTTTAAATATGTTATACTTATTCT